CAATTTGTTGGAGTACCGACTCAGTGCGGTGGCGTGGCTCATTTGAACATTTGGCAACTATAAATATGCAGCAACACCAGGAATACCATACAGTATTTTGTTCATCAATTGCTGAAAGATGGCTGGAGCAGTCTGGATGCCAAATGGCAGGCGGTTGTACTGGAACAGTCCTCGATGAGTGTTAATAGTTAGTAGTTCTCTGTATTCCTCAGCGACTTAAGCTTGAAGGTATGCATCTGCCAGGTCTAATTTAGCAAATACATTTCCCTCGTTTAAAATGGTAAATGGGTCCTCTGGAGTGGGCAGTGGGTAGTGTTATGGTTCGAGAGTGGAGTTGAGACCAGTAAAAAAATCAGCGCAGAGGCGAAGAGAACCATTTGTCTTCTTTATGACAATTATTTGAACTGCCCAGGTGGAGTTGGTTACTGGTGTCAGAACCCCTTGTTGCTCCAGCCGTTGTAGTTCAGCGTCCACATGTGGAATAGAAGCATATGGTACAGGTCTTTTTGGATGGAAAACTGGTTTGAAATCAGCTTGAAGATGCAAGACGGCAGGAGATGCTGTACACCGACCAAGACTGGGTTGGAAGACATCTGAAAATTTTCCAATGACCTCCGAAGACTGACTTTCAGATGGTGTTTGTACCGCGTTGCAAATGGTATTCACTGCGATGTCTGATAACTCCAAACCTAACAAATTGAGGTCCGCTTAACAATATAACAAGTTGCATCAATCATATAACCATTGAAAGAGACATTACATACCAGCTTACCGGACAATGGGAGGAGGCTGCCACATGCACTCAACGCGGTCTTAACTGTTCTTTGAAGAGGTGGTGAACCAATATCACGCCAGAGCTTTTCGGAAATGATGGTAATATCAGACACAGTGTCAGACTGCAGTCTGGCTGGATGGTTATTGATTTTCACCACTACGAACTTCCTTTTGGGCGGCGCATCACCCATAAGGGTGGCTACGAGATACAAGGATTCGCCAATGGGTTTCGAATAGTTCCGCTACCAATTTCTTGTAGGGGGACCAGATTTTGGTCAGCGTAAGTTGCAGCAACCATCTCTGTGTCCAATGTTGGTGCACTGGCGGCAACGGTGCTGTTTATATGGCCAAGACCGGACGCAGTGCCAAGTGCCGCAGAGCCAGCAAGATGAGGGCAGAGTTTTTTGCGTATCCTGTGAGGTGGCAAATAGGGTGTATTAGATGTAGATGGGCCAGGATGCAAAGAAGAGAGATACTTTGATGACTGGCAAACAGCATGGACAGCATTGTTAGGTTCACCAGATTGAACCAATGTGGCATCATTACGAAGAGTTTCCAACCGTTGGAATTCATCTACTATTTCATTAAGAGTCAACTTAGAATCTTGGTCTAAGCGACTGAGCAACCGGGTGCGAATATCAGAGAATTTCGAAGGATGGAGATTGCCTATAAGGATTAATGGTTTGAATTGAACATCAGACAATAACTTCAGTCTAAATCGTTAATTAACAACTTCAGCATGAGTTCGAAAATCATCATGACCATTCATTGTTAACTTCATACATGTGAAGCGAATGTTGAAGAGAGACAAATGGTCACCAAAATGTTGGCTTAATAGTTTGGTTGTTTCGTCAAACGTGCGTTCCCGTGGTTTCTGTGGTAGTATGAGATTGCAGCAGGTATCAAGTTCTGCTGGACCAAGTTTCCGGAGTAAAAGGCGGACTTTCCAACCATCATGCTGACCAGCAAAATAAATTTTGAAAGTGTCTTCAAAACGTCTATACCAAGTATCAAACGTAACATTGGTTCCTGGATCATAGAGAAAATCATTGATGCAATCAACCAACCCATCGATAGAAGGAGCCAAACTAGGAGCAGGCGAAGAGGATGATGGTGCAGCAGCAATCTTGTTACCAGCTAGAATTTCAATGAGCTTGAATTGCTGTTCTAATATATATTCAGTTTTCGAATAATCCATTACCAGAAAATCAGCCTCGTCGCCACTGTTATGATGCGGAGTTGTGAGAACAAAATGAAATACTGAACGATTGAAGTTTCGTGTACTCGCCTTAAATGGACCAACAGACAGTCAATTTTGTTAATCACTGCTCACAATGCCAACAAGCGGCCAAAAATCCTGTCGGTACCATGACTGAAACCAGAACGTCCCTGGGAGAGAATTCATCTTGATTTTGCTGGCCCGACCGATGGAACATCTTACATGGTTCTCGTGAATGTATTTTCGAAATGGCCGGAGATTGTACCTATTATCATTCCATCAACAACGATGACATTACTCTGTTTGACGGATGTCTTCAGCCACCAAAGACTACCAGAAACTATCGTCACTAACAATGGTCCGCAGTTGACCTCCCACGAATTCGATAACTTCTGCAAACAGCACTCCATCATCCACATCCGCTCACTACTGTATCACCCACAGTTGAACGGCCAGGCAGAACGTTTCGTGGATACCTTCAAAAGAAGTATGTTGGAAGCAAAAGACGAAGGGACTTCCGCTGAAAACTTACAATTCCCCTTCGCGTACCGTACCACTCCGAACGGAACGGTACCAAATCAGCAATCACCTACAGAAGCACTTATGGAACGTAATACACATCACGCTATGGTTCTGCAAAATTTTACTGCACCCCTAACATCAGAACGTATTTCCGTTCGTTCTCACAATACTGAACGACTGATTGTCGAGGGTAGAGACGATTCAACCCGAATGATTCGCAAAGAGAAATCAAAAGACTGGAAATTAGATGAGTTTATAGTATCTCGGACTGAAAACTTTTATGAGTGGAAACGAACCCTATTTATAGAGTTTACAGTAACCTTGAAAGACAAGTAATAATTAGTGCATTTAAAGAGGCAGGAACGAATCAGAACAATAGCAGGTCATACGAAATATGACCTATACACAAATAAATCAGTTCAAATATATACGAACTGTTAGTATGGAATATAAGGGATATGGGCATTACTAACAGTATCGACGATTTAGTGACTTCCGAAATTACAGTTTATTTGCAAGTACCCTTGAGATACACTTAAGGGGATTAAGGAATTATAACAAGGTTACCTGGTAATGCACCTTAACACTGAGTGACACTAGTTTACTTGCCTTGTTGAGATACAGTAAATCATAGTTATGAGTTTCATTGTTGAAGTACTGCGAAATATTTACAATTTACTACCAGTTGAAATTCCAGTCAAAAAGGACTCTGATTAACTTAACTTTAGAACTAAAACACCATGGTAGTGCATAACTTCACGGTAATTTGTGCGTCGGATATTTCACAAAATGAAACAGTATTATTTACTGAGTAACACTTGGAACAATTTATTGGCCACAGTCACACACCTAGGGTAATACTCTATTTTGTAGTTCTAAGAAGACAGCATGAACGAAGAATATTCTTCTCAATAGATTTCTTTCAGGTTCTGCAATCCTACAATGGAATCACTCAACATAATACAGGTCAAGCTTGTGATAAATACATTTCTCGAAATGGATTGTGAGTTAGGGACTGTAAGCAGACCAGTTCTAAACTTATCAATGTTAAGATGGCTTACGTACTTATAGTGAATTGAATGTGATATTAGGTGCTATCAAAAGAACGATGATAAGTAATCGTGACAAGTGTAGACAATAGGGGGGCGGGGGAAGTCATACTATGTGGGGAAATGATATGAATGAGGTGAAGGGTAATGCAAATAGAGTGCGCTGTTGATAATGAAATGGTCGATGTATAAAATAGTTGAGACGAAATCATACTTAATGTAATATTATTAACGAATTATAGTAATAGTGAAGAGAGTTCTTGATCTTATGAATTTCAAGAAACTACTTCTAAAATGTACAGTTCCTTTTCATTACTAGTTTTAACTGGCATGTTGACGTAGCAGCTATGAAATCTTCATTAGCCTCTGTTTTTATGGAGATTCTTGGCAAAACTGGAAATGACTAGTGGAGTCAACACAGTTGAACATGGGAACATTTACTCGAGAGCGGCATGAAATAGGGGTGACGCCATGTCATAAACTGACATTAGTAAGAAATATGGACTATTGGATTCCGACCCAGTTGCTCAATGGTAACGTGCTGGCCGTGGAAGCTGAAGGTCCTGGACACTATTCCTGGTGGGTTCGTGGTGCGCACTGATCATGAGTCCCATACTGGGATGAAACAGCTGCTCAGCGCTCCCATGTTTCTAGTGTTCCTCCAACTAATGTCAGTCCACTATAATATCCAGTTTCTACTCTAATATCTATAAAGTTTCACAGAACTGGCCTTACGACCCACAAAAGTGTGGTTTGTCGAAAATTATAACAATAAAAATAACTCACTTGATGTTAGTTGGTAGGAGGCAGTCGGCGGCAAGCCCTAGATTTAGATTTCGTGCTTGTTGGCGCTTTTCAGCAAGGCGTATCTGCATTTTCGACGGAAATGATGTCCCGCTTCAGATTCGAACCATCGTCACCCAGTGTTGTAGTCAGCAACGTTACTACTGAGCTATTTGAGCCACGATTGTTACGTCGGATTCGCCTTGTTGGCTAGGATCAACAATTACTAAGCATAGGTTCAGGGCTTTCTACCGACAGCCTCCAAGCAACTAACGTCTACTAGTCTCTACCTGGGTTGCGGAGCCTCCTAGCTTGATGGCCAAATTGCAAATATGATCGATAGAATCCGGTATGTACTCAGGACTAGACATGAAATTGGTTTCTCTCCCATGACCAATCAATGAATTTACTTTATATCTCGTGTCTACATACAGTGGAGTTCCTATGAATAGATGGCTTGACTGGCTAGTGACTCGATATTGTGGTATATTCACTCCATATCTTGAAATAAAACGATGTCAAATACAAATCATTATTCATTACAACCTTGAAAAATTAGTGGTTCATGTATGACATACTAATTACGACTTAGTGATACATTTGCACTATTTATAATTCAAGATAATTTATAGATGTATTTACGGTATTGACAGATTGGTCCATTTTTTCCAAACGTACCAACTGTTGTCCCTCTTTGGGTTGCTCTTCTGCTTAGAGGCCAACAGAAATGTCGTATTATACCTCCAACTTGGCTAACTGTGGAGAAGTTAAATGAATGTAAAGAAGCAGAAGAAAATGATACTGGTTGTGCATCTCCTCCACATCCTCAGTACATTGAAATCAGTACACTTCTTCTTCAACATGCAGCTGAAGATATAGCAAAGTAAGTGATATTAATTTATTTTTTCATTTAACACAATTTAAGATAATTTATAATTTTATTATGCTTCACATAATGGAAACTTTGTCGTACGTCAGTTAAATTTCAGTAATTTGGTTGTATTATGTTCTCTGAGCTGAGTTGTTTAATCGTGGAGCTTTCATCGTCTTGCTGAATTCTGAAATCAGTATTTCGCTCTAGACACCGTAGTGTTATCCATTGGGCTATTGGATTATGATAACGTGTTGATATCACTTAATTATATCGGTTATAGATGTATACAGTTGTTTTTATTGGTAATTTACCGAAATAAAAAAAATTTAAAGTAATTTAGACACATCATTTATTAGAGGGTTGGAGGCGAACTCCAGGAATCTCTGCCAATTACTTTAACTATCTGAAGTTAGTCAGAATTGCACGCGGGTATCAACTCTCTTAGCTTAGTGACCAGATTGAAAGATGGTCGACAAAATTAGGTCACCACTTTAGACTAGACAACATGAAGTTGATTACTTCTCCAGTGACCGATCAGTGTATACATCAGTTAACCAAACCGGTAAAAACATCATTTATGGACAAGATAATTAGAAATTAATTCGTCGTAGGAATAGTTTCCCACTTTTTAATAATTTATGTGTATTGAATTTCTATGTATTGGCTCAATAACTGTCTTCTATAGTGTATAATAATGTTTTGAAATTCACAGTTTGGAAGAATATTTGATAATACTCTTGGTTTTTATCTTTTTCTAGTAGAAGACAACTGTTTTTTTTATAAAAAATGTTTGATAATTAAGCTGTCTTACTCTTGTACCCCAGTGGTCTAGTGGATAACACGTTGGGTATTGGGTTCTAGTTTCAGTGGAAACGACATCACTCATTGAGGTGCAGGTACATCCAGCTGACGAGTCCCAAATTAGGACGAAATACGTGTCCTGGATTCAACAGCGAGTCACCAAGATAAATACAAGTTAAGCACTAAGTTATACACAGGTATAGTAATAAAGTGAATAACTAATATCCGTGTGCACTGTTGATCAACAACCTGCTGATTTTACCCTTAATGGCTTCTTCGTTCCTAGAAAAAAGAAAGAAGCACTGAAAAATGAAATGCTTATTGATTTGAAGGAAACCTACGTCACTGATTGATATCATTTGAAAAACTAAGAACACTGACCATCTGTTGTGTCCTGATTTGGAACGTGTAAGAATGCAACACACCGTTAGGTTTCCTGGCTAGCGCGTTGCGATTCAAGCATAAGGTTAGAGTTCAATTTCTACTTCCTCTACTCTTGCCAATCCAGTGGTTCTCCAAATAGCTATAAACTGTGATGCAAACTACCCTGAAACCAATAAGTCCACACAAAACAACTTAGAAAGCTTTATTATTATTGTTATTATTTTCATTATTATTAACATGGAACCTAGAACTACTGTGTAACGGTTTATGTTGTGATACCTCAGATCAAGACATAGGGCAACAAGATGAAAGATGAAGAAAAGTAAGTAATTCAGTCGAAAGTCGTAAAACGTTGCAGAAATAAACGAGGAAAAGGCGTTAAAACAAGTAACGAAATGTGATATGACAGTTAATTTGGAGTTAAGGCCCAGTTACATGTGTACCGGTGTGATCAAGTCTGATCGCTATCACCTAGAGTCTTCAATCATCGATTCTCACTCTCTTATGGATATCCAGCCTGAAAACCTACACACTTTTACATGGCTCAGACCAGCAGCCGTGTTCTGTTTACATGTTTTCGTGTGAACACTATGCATATTGATGGTGTTGTGTTCTCTCAGTTGAATAGTTTAATCGTGAAGTTTTCATTGACATTCTAGACAACATCACCAGCGAAAGCTTCAGAAAGAAGTGAGCTGTGCAGTTTTCTTCACCAATGACTGACTGAGTAGCTTGTCCTGATAGCCTTGTGTGTGATTAGTTGTTTCTGCCTGAGTCTTGTCATTGTCTCCATATTTATTTTGATTGGTTGTCCTGATGACGTGAACTTTGACGTTCTTGTTTTTCTTATTGGTTGATAGACTGAATCCAACGTCAGTGTGCCTATCGATTGCTGACGGACCTGAATACCAAGCTTCTAAAGATTCTCTACCATTCTTTGTATTCCCTCTATTCAGGATTCCCACATTTTCCCAGTCGAATTCATGTCGACAATTGTCAGGATATGCATTGGTATGAGCTGAGATATATCGTGACTGTTTATTACTAGTTGACGTTTATGTTGACCAATACTAAGAGGGTGACCAATATGTCCGGTGTTGTGTTTTTCACAGTTTTGCAGTTTACTTTTTAGATAATCTTTGTTTTGTCTTCCTTTGCTATTGTATCTTTTGGCCTGTATAATAGAGACTGAAGCGATTTGTAGGCTTGTGAGATACGGTGATTTCAAAGGTTTCGATGATCTATTTATGATCCGGAAAGGTTCTTCATGTAGGGTAGGACAATCTAATGTTAGTTTTCGTGATCGACTTCTTGGTGAATGACGAATTATGTTAACATCTTTTGACGAAGTTTCGTGGGAAAACAGTCATTAAATAGTTTTCTTTTCACCGCAAGGCTGATATACGACAGTCTATCTTCGCTCTTTTGAAAAGTGTTTTTATACAAGTAATTTTGTGTGCTGTCGGGTTGTCGTTATTGTGATTAAGGATTTGATCCTCATGAACTGGTTTTCTGTATACTTGAGTTTCCAATTTCCCCGAATCCATTCTAGTGATCAGAACATTTAAAACTGCGAGCTTGTTATTTGATTCCCCTTCACTTGTGAATGTGATGACGTCGAAAATATGGTTGATTAATTTGTAAGCGTTTACCAATTCGTTTCGATTTGATCAACGGCAATGCACCACAGTTTCCAATCTTCGCATTACTGCTTCTACAATTAATTCTGATGTAGGTGATCCCACTAGTGTTCCTTCTGTCTGTTTATAGAGTTTGCTGTTGAATTGAAGATATGTTGTAAGGCATAGATCCATTGTTTTGTGTATTCCAAAAGGTGTATATCATTGTTGAGGAGAAGAGTCTTTGTATGCTTAGCCAGCTTCGGTTCAACGTGTATAAAGCTGTAACGTCGAAAAAGGCACCATCAGTTCGTCGTTATTAATATGAATATGCTTGATCTTTTCCAAAAATTGCGTCGAAGAGTTGATAAAGTGGCCTTATGATTCTACTAGATGTTTCAGTTTTCTGAAGAATTCTTTCGATAGCTTGTATACAATTGGTCGTAGTGGGATGTTTAGTTGGCGTATTTTTGGTCTACCGTAGAAATGTGGGAGAACAGGTTCATTGGTTTTCATTAGGCATTGCTCTTATTTCGTAATTTGTCCTGCTTTGACGAGCTTGTTCAAGGTCTTGATGATGTAAGAGTCACACTTTTGAATGGAATTTGTCTTGGTTAGTTTATGTACATTTCTGTTCATGAGTAGGTCTTTCACCTTTTTGATGCAGTCGTCTTTATCCATGACTAACGTGGTGTGCCCTTTGTCAGCTTGAACTATAACGATGTTCTTTTCATTCTTCAATTTCTTAAGATCTTTCTATTCTTCCCCGGTTAGTTGATTACGGTTTTTCTTCCTCCTGGTCAGAGGTACGATTGCTTGTTGTAGTTCTTATTGGGTCTCAGAGCTTAGTCCTGAAATCTTCAGTGATGACTCTAGGGATGCGAAGAATTCTGGTCCTGAAGCTTCTCATATATTGTAATTTAGTCTTTTCTGAAGGAGAAGCTCCTGGCATTCGGTCAGCGGTTGCTGAGACAAGTTGACTACAGTCACTTTCTCCTTCTGATGCTCATGGTTTTTAATCTTAACTACCTTCTGTCGAAGGATGTTTCTTCTCTGTTTTTTGTGTCTTCTGCTTGATTTTTAATCACAGTTGTCAACGTTGTAAAGTGTTCTGTCGTTGTAGATCCTGGATTAGAGGAAATATGAAGAATGGTAGAGAATTGTTAGATATCATTCAGCAATTAACAGACGTATTGACATTGACCCAATCTGTCAACCAGTAAGAAAAACAAGAACGTCAAAGTTCACGTCATCAGGACAACCAATCAAAATAAATATGGAGACAATGACAAGACTCAGGCAGAAACAACTAATCACACACAAGGCTATCAGGACAAGCTACTCAGTCAGTCATTGGTGAAGAAAACTGCACAGCTCACTTCTTTCTGAAGCTTTCGCTGGTGATGTTGTCTAGAATGTCAATGAAAACTTCACGATTAAACTATTCAACTGAGAGAACACAACACCATCAAAATTATCCTCGTGAGCCACATGTATTCCCTCTCTTTATATTTCTTCATCTTGTGTTAATCACTAGTAGTCGTTATTCAGTGTTCCCTTGTTACCCTCAGTACCGCTACTAGGGAAGAATAATATACATTGTTATTGAGACATTCTAGTTTCAGAAGGAGATTTTGATGAGTTTTCGACTGGTTTTAAAATTATTTTCTCGAGTTGAAAAGCTTATAAACCTATATATTGACCATAAAGGTGCTTTGTTTTCTAAAAATCAATTTCGCTTTTTCAATATTTCACCAGTCCTGAAAGTATACGCAATATTGTTCGTGATATATGGGATATTCGTGTAGGTAAACTATTATCATCTGTAAATGGTTTTCTATCCAGTGGATCATCAACAGCACGAGTTAGTCAATTAACCAATATGGAGTTGGTCACTTTACATAACCTGTTAACTAATTCAATGGATCAATTGTCTTTACTACGTCAAGCAACTTCACAAGCAATTGAATTCTCTGGTGGTAGCGGTACAGCTAATCGAACGTCATTTTTAAATTCATCTTCTACTGGAAACTAAATCAAACACATCGAAGATTTTTCTAATTTTTTAGTTATAGTTCATTTCTTTCGGTATGCTACTCAAATTATCTTTATAACGCATATATACACATATGATATCGACGTGGTGACTATACAAAGTGGGATATATGGGAACGTATGATAATTCATCGTAGCCGTGTATTTTTGTTCTTTGATTGAATATCATTGCACTTTGTAGTAATTGTATTTTATTGTAAAACGATCAAATCCAATTAGTCGATGTTTCAATAAATTAACATTTTGGATTTTATAGTTTGTTTTTAACAATATTACGTGGAGTAGTAATCTTTCGTCGGTACTCAAATCAGTGTTATAGTCCTAATTCATAACATAGTGCTGTTGATTAACGTACAACAGTGGTAGTACTAAGCTAACTAACATTACACTGCAGTATGTACTTTTTGATGTTAAAAGTACAAGTGTTTGTGTTTAGGGCGTTAGGAGGTGGGATAAATCTGCAGGAAGACCTAAATCACAGTCATTTGCCTTCTGTCTCTTATTTTCGGTTACTATCAATCGCCTCTTTGTGTGTTTAAGAATATTGTTATTTTTAACTTATATGAATACAATATGTGTATGGTTAAAAATATGTACTAGAGTAATGTGTAGATAACTTCACACTAGACTAGATAATCGAGTTATTGCTTTCTCCTCATGAGTGGATTGACTGACTCATCGTGATCGAACGATGATTAGTCCCAACTTCAACTAAGTGTATTTACTTAGTGTCAACTAATTGATGCGTCTATCCATTCAATCATATAATGATTGCACATATCGTATACACAATTTTATGTTCTCTCCTACCCCCCTCCGTACAACAAAAGAGATCTTATTCTCACTATCCTTGTTGATTTCATTTTTAGTTATTCATATATAAATTTAGGTTACCTGTCCAAAATGCAGAATAATACACGAAAATAAAGCAACCTAATTTATGCATGGAAAACGAAGTAATACGCAATTACCGATTTCGGAACCATGATCCATGCAGAAATGAGTGTTTGTGTGTGTGCGTGGGGGGGGGGGCGATCAATAAAGGTCTCTTGAACCGATCTATACAGTGATCCTATTAAATTATTCTTAATTAGAACATCCTTTTAGAAAATTACTACGGCAAATAATACCTCTTTGAAATTCTTCTTTTCTTCCGCCCGGTATAACTATCAAAACATACGTTTCGCAGTGAACTCATTCCACTCTCTTTGTGTTCTTACCAAGTTATTCAGTTTGATGACTCCAGTGAGAATTTTTTCATGAGAAGAGGTGTGTGCCAAGACGCAGAGTAAACTTCTATAGATGTTACTAGATAGAGTCTGTTGCGAAGTTGATACTAATTTCTCTTAGTGATGAACACTCATTGGGTTGAAGACAAAGTGTGAGTATCGGTAACTATTTATCTTACTATTCTGCTTTCTATGCCAACTTACTGTTTATTGGTTTAAATTCGCTATTTGGTGATCTGTTGTGAGTGAACTGCACGTGATTGACGTAATTTCGACGGCAAAAAGATTCTTTACTACTGATTGAATAATGGATTTTCTCCTAAAAAGATCTGAAAAGTTAGATCATGGACGACAATGCAAGCTTACCCTAATGCGATATTAAAAAGTAAACGATGCAGAAGAAGGTATTATTTGTTGTGTTATTGCTCTTACTGTTAAGGTGCATTTCTCTTTTCATCTCATCGTCCAGTATTACCATGTCTATATCACAATGGGACTGAAAAGTGTGAGAGCATATAGTGCTTCAATAGATAATACTGGTGATAGTTATGTAGAGGTACGAGTGTTGTGGAGACGTATGTTCGTGAAAGATAACTCATCTGGGCTGGGAAATGTGAGGGAGTGATATAATAGCTAAAAAGTGACTTCTAGAAGTTAATGGATCCAATTTCTTAATGAAGTGGAATCCTATTGACGACTGTATATATAGTGACTAGTTTGAATTGACTTCAGATAGTCTTATGTATAACCTAGGGGCACTCTTAATCCATGTAAAGGGAAATTATCCTCTGCAAAAAGCTTTTCACTGAATGTGCTATTTTCCCAATGTACTTTTTTTCACGAGTTAAACAATACACCTTTGACTTACTTTTTCCTGATTGACTTTTGTAATCAAGGTGACCTTAGATTGCGAGGAGTTAACGTTATGCGATTTACAATTATAACTGGACTATAACGCAAGAAATCACGAGTACCTTTAGCATGTAGGCTAGAAAAACGTTCAGCATACTTACAGTTTTACTTTGTTGTTACTATTCATTAGCGAGACGGAATAGGTAACGAGTTTATAAAGTTAGCACACCAGTTGAATATTTCATTTTTAATCACAATTCTATATCACTTAGTATATATATATATATATATATATATATATATATATATATATATATATATATATATATATATATATATATATATATATACCAAGACGCTAACAAATTTGCGCGTCTCTAATCGGTTCATGGTAGTTGTAGAGGTAAGACTTGCTTCTTTTGGTCAAACAACTCGGGTCTTTTGTTGCTGATTGCTACTGTTTCTGTAGTTTGAAGGATCCTGAGTCGAGTATCTTTTGGCAAGTTGATGGGAACTGGGTACAGAATGGAAAATAACTCATTTATATCCACTTTATGATTCATTTCAACTAAGTGTGCTAATATGGAACTGGTAGTGGTTTTCATCACATCATTACTTAACCACACTGAGAGGTGCTTATGAACACGGAAAATTAAATTCCTAGATCAGCGACTGACGTTACTGGCTCAATAGCTGCAGTCAAACTGATAAACCCAAGAGAAAGTGGCCAGTCTAGGCAATTTATCTTTCAGTCTTATTGTCACCATTGGGCGTGTGGAAAATAAAATTTGTAATTTACCAGCATTAAAAATTCCCTAAAATGATCTGCCTAAGCTAGGAATTAATATATCGCTGAGCAGGTCACCTCTTAGTTGTACCCGAATATATAGCAGTTTTTCTACTTTCCGTTGAAACATCCTTTCCTGTCATTTTTGCAATTAAATATTTCTTCATGAACTTATCAAGATAACCGTTTTCGATTAGTGTGTCGCCCAAAGTCGCCAGTTCCTCCTCGACTGTATCTTCCAGACATTCAATTTAGGCTGCTTTATGTCAGTCTTGACCTCAACCGGTTGTTGGCTAAGTCTCTGAATTCGGCTGATTGAAATTACCAAGGGAGTATTACTTTCTTCACAGTTACAGATGCGACTAGCTGATGATTGTCAACAAGCATAAACATTATATGCGAGACAGTCTACTAAAGTACTTCCTATGTGTAACACTAAAATACCGTACATCACAGTGTCACGTGAATTAGTTTTGTAGCCACGTTGCAAATGTAAACGACAGACTTAGGTCAGTATTAAGCCGTGTGAATTTGATATCTAGCTACACCAGTTACCGTACGGCAGTCAATTCGTATACTCTTACGAATTTCAACAGCTACACAACTTCGGAACATAGCTTACCACTAACTGACATTGGATACACATAAGAAAAACTAACTATTACTGTAACACTACAGAACTGAACCTGGACTTATCAGTTTGCATCACTGCGATGGGATAAGGTTATATTCTTTTTTTCAGTCAAAATAATCATCAGAAGGAAATTTTATCATAGGTCAAGTCATCAGCGAATATAACTTTCAAAACTATTATTTCCTGAAGCTATGCGTAGATAAAGATCCTTTCCATTGGGAAATAATGCTTTCGGTGACTATACGAAATAATATTCTTTTGCAGTCGAATTCTCAACCTATTGCCTTTACAGTGAATTATTTACATCATGCGAAAGTGATTTCCTCATCATTTGGAAATGTGATGCAAACGGTTGCATAACATTATGACGTAATACTAAACTTGTAAGAAGTTCATTTCTAGCATGCTTGAGAGTCTGCTCCAGAAAATTTTGACATCGGTCTGCGTATTCAGGAGAGTGAAACGTTTTGACCAGACGAGAATAATATAGGTAAGTTACACAAGCATGATTACCTTCTGCAAAAGTATTGTTGAAAGAATACTTACCGGGAATTTGAGTAAAAAGTTAACTTAAGGTATTTTCCTGATAGAGTTGTTTGGTTATTTATCCCAAATTGTAATACTTGAATCTGATCGTTATAAGTATACAAATTAATTTTTTTAGAATACTTTCTCAAGGTAAATATATTTCAGTGAACATAAATATCCACTTAGAACCTTGCTTAACACTTGAAGTTGTTATACTTCGGAACATTAAATAGTGAGGTTTTGAACGGAAAAGGTGCTCAAAATTTCTAAAATGATGAGTGAATACCTCTGGGTCACGACGATTGGTTTTTAGCCATATAACAGAGTATTTAACGCTTAATTCCAAACATTTTTAGGATCCAAGCTAATCAGCCTAGACCCCCTCTTCTTGGCTCAAACTGAGGACCAGAAACTACACAAATTGCTGCAACGTCTTATTTTAGCCTCCTTCAACTTTCTTTAAACCTTATCCTACTTCAGCTCACCTTTGTCGTCGAGTAGGATGGTGCGTTGGTGTATCTAACACGTACTCATTCCAGCACAGTCGACCAAGATTTACAGCATATGCTTATTTTTAACTTGTTAAGACTACTAAAATGTAAATCACTTCGCTTAGTTGACACACAATCATTTCTATTCAAGTAATCATGTTCTTAGTTCTGAAGTAGGACATTTAGAGTCTGTTTTCATATATATATATATATATATATATATATATATATATATATATATATATATATATATATATATATATATATATATATATATATATATATATATGACTAGTTTTGTTTCTAACTAGATCTGTCACGAGCAAAATACTGAAATTTGTATGTTTAGGAATATCTAGACTTTCTGAACATTCTTCAGATTGACTTGTTTGATTTTGGTTTTTTCTTTCCGTTGTTGAATTCTTTTATCGATTCGTGTTGCTGAAAGTTAACAGTTTTCATATTTGAGCCGTCATAAATAACGTTGTATTTGAGACCTCTGTGAAAGAGATGCTTCGTAACAGTGCATTTGTTAAATACAAGAAAACTTCTCAATCCAGTTTATGCAGCTAGCATTGGTTTGCTTGACAGTAAAATATATTTGTTGCTCAAATAAAACTATAGAAGTTGACAACCAGTGTTAGTAAACATGGTATGTGATGAGTCATTAGAAGTGACTGGAAAGTTCAAGTATGTTAGTACTATTGGAAGTATGATGAATGAG